AAACAACGAAAAGAAGGTTATTTAGTTGTTTAACCATAAAATTGAAAACAAAATCCGAGGCAATTGAAAGCATATGAATGAACGAAAAGATTTACTTTAGTTTTATAACATACTTTATAGTCAACATAATATCAATCCAATGACATTTAAGACATTTTAGAGCATTTTTAATGCGCTGCATTAAGTTTTATATCGAATGGCCCTTCCGTCATAAATCAAAGAACGCAACTATATAGATAAAGCAATTAATTTTTAACAGAGAGATCTTCCGGGTCAACCAACCAACGTTGACGAAGATCAACTTTAAGCCTCGTGGAAGCTTCCTTTCGTTTAACAGTATCCTAAGTAGATAAAGATGCGTGTATATGTATGTATGTGTCCTCCTATCTGCACCACTAATTGTTTCGATCCGAGGACAGAAGTATTTTTTTATTCCGATAGTCGCGATTATAATCATTTTATTATTTCATCCTTCACATGCAAATATATTTATTAAGGACTCCGCGTAGATACAATCTCATACGTATTCAAACTTATCTGGCTGTGTTCTCAAATATGCCGCCCTGAACCCTATTTAAAAGTAAATTTAATTTGGCCGCAAATAATAGGCGAGTAGCTTAAGTATTCAACTAACCTCGACAGATTCCGTCAAGTCCCCCACAAAAAGATACTGACTAAAATTTCAGCATTCATCCATCGATTATCATATCATGAAAGTGTAGAGGGGGAAAATTCCAACCCGTAAAATCTTGCATCACATAGATTACCTTAGATTTGTCTCATATTTTTAACACAAAGTTGTTTGCATTCATTTTGATCTGGCGAGAATATGAATCAACTAAACGATACTTATATATTTATCCATGATCTTTCTAAATCGTTCTAATAGTCTTTTTTACATTTAAGAGATTACTGGCTGTAAAGAGTTCACTTTAAGTGCGAATGTCACAGATTGATGTACCGCATCCTCTACAATTCGCTATGCGACATAGTACGTCCTCTTTCCCAAGCCAAGCCCATAAGAATTAAGCTAAGGCCGAAGTTTGGATTTCACCTTCTTATAATTACTTCCAATTCGATAAGAATACGGACTGATATATAATATTATAGGACTGTTTTGTGGATTTTAAAGAACATCTTTATAAGAACAAACCTTTTAAAATCTCACTGACTGCTTTCTATTGTGTAGATGCCTTTCGTCTAATGACTTAAGTTGCGATCGAACCTCGCTGCCCGAAAAATGAAAATATTAGAAGCAAGTACTCTACGGGAGCAGATGAGATTGTTCATTTGATTTATCACAAACTCTAAGTATTCTTAGGGATAACTACGATTAGCCTGTGTTTAATAAAATATGTTATGTGTATATTATATATACATATGTGTACGGGGCTTTCAAACCCATTAACAACAAAAAGCGGAGCTTGTTTTTACGCTTAAAAGCATAAAATCAAGAGTTTGCAGTTCTTTTTTTTTTTCAAATGTTTATACTTTACACCATTTGCGGTACCGAGCATTGAAAGTTGATGCAAATGGAAGTAAGATCAAACGATTCGGAACTATTTCCTCAATCGATGTAAGCTTGTCTGTCTGTTTAATGTTCATTCATGTATTTTTTGTGTTCAGCCTATAGGTGGCTATTTGTGAGATATTTGGACTGATGATTTCTAGCCCAGGGACAAGCCCTATTGGAAATGGGTTGAATCGGAGAACCTTTTCGGCCGATGCCCATAAAAGAGCTAATTGTGAAAAACTCGTTATATGAAGAAAAATTTGTAATGTTGAAAACTCCTCGACAAAAAGGGCTGCTGGGAGCAATTTTTTGAACGCCCTTCCATATATACATTTATACGAAAACTGAATCGTACAAAAGTTTGAATTCCAAAATTTTTTGGAAAAATAATTCCATAATATATTAAAAACGCCTCATCATTAATACTTTACGATAAAAATCGATCCATAATAATAATTTAGCATAAAAATAAATTCGACCATATTTCAACCATGAGGTTCTATTCCTTTAACACTGTTCGATATTCTCATGAATTATAAATCGTTTGGAAAATAGATTTCATTTTTAATATTTTATGATGCAAAGCGGTTCATAGAAAACTTATCGCAGTTAATTGCAATCACATAGTTTTATTCTTCATACTTCACCATATATAGAGGTTCTCAGGAAAATTAAATCCTTATATGATGACAAATAAAATATTATGTGAAATTTCACAACAAAAATTAGGGAAAAGTAATAAAATCGCCAACAAATCAATTAAGTTTGTTTGTTTGTTTGTTTGTTTGTTTGTTGTCTTACATTACTACTTTTACATTATTATAGCATTATAATGAAAATGAATGAAGAATTGTGTTACGCGAAGTAATAGTGCACGTAGGTTATGTAATGATCGGTCTAATCCGACTCTGACATTCGTAGCTATTTTCATAAAAATAAGTAAACAACATTTCATCACTCGAACCAAAGCTCTCACCCAAGTTTAATGCAACAATGAATTAACTCAACGGCTTAATGTAGCAATAAATTGACTCCCGAAATTCAGTCTATGGAAAATCACATCGTTACAAATTACACAATTATCTTGGAGCGTATCCGTATGAGACCGCAAATAGCAGCATAATACGTCTGCCAAAATGAAATGAAATCAAGTCACAATATTACGATTGATTGCATTCAAAAACAACATATTCGAAGAATCTAATGCTTTGCGGAAAAGTTAATGTCAACGTAGTCAAAGATTTAGTGATCGACAGAAAGTGTATATATGGAAAAAAAAAATTACAAAAAAAAAAAATCAAAAAAAAATTTCAAATGTTGAACATTTGTGTCTCGTAACGAATCGCTAAACTAGGTAAACTTTACGATATCAGAGAACTTATACTCGAACCTTTTGAAATTATATTGAGCGGAGGCTGCAATGCAGACAACCTGAGAACTAAGCTTACGTCGAACATTCACATTTTCCAAGATTTGTTCAGGGTTTTTTTTTTTTTTTCTTTTTTGAATTAAATAATGATTGCTTGAGCTGCTAGCATAATCGTAGATTTCATATCGTAAGTTTTCTTTTCTTTTTTTTTTTTTTTCAATATTTGAAAGCCTTACTTACCTGCCTTTCGTTAACAAAGAAATCTTTCTCTTCAATAATATTTTAAGATATTAATTATTTATTATTTCACAAGAAATCTGAAATTGAAAGACACACAAAACATAACAAAACATTAAGCAGAACAACACGATCGTTCCCTTATTGATTTTTTAATTTATTTTAAAATATTTTTATTTTTAACTTAAGGTAAGACTTGTATAAAAAATTGATGATATTACTTTCTTACAATTTTTACAAATAAATTTTTTCTCATTTATACAACATATATGCTATTAAAAGTTTGACTGGTAACTGAAGTGAATCCAACAATTTATATTAAAAAAAAAAAAAAAAAAAAAAAAAAAAAAAAAAAAAAAATTTATTACTTGAACGCATTTTTACTCTTTCCAAACCATATATATAAAACATTACCAAAGAGTACTATTGCTTGATGGCGCGTGCGTGCATTTAACTGAATGTGTTTAAAAGAAAATAATGAAACTGTTGGCTTAAGCCGTAGCACGAATCCCGGCCTTTTAAAATTTCAATAGACTTCCTATCAATATTGTGCAAAGCATTTATGTCTGATAGAAAACTTTTATAAAATTTGTAAATATTTAAGAAATTAATATATAATCAGCATAAAATTGCTTCATGCTGCTTTAAAAATCAAGACCATCAAAGTACGTCTATGCTCTACATTAATATTATTTCTAAAGAAATTAAATAAAACATTGACTTGCAAATTTCACTTTTAACCAAATGAAATTGAAAATTCATATTTGCATAGTTTAAACGCACACTTACTTTTACATTAATGAAAATCTTTCGGTAGCTGGAATGGAATGAGAATACACATATATATATATATATATATATATACCCATACGCTCCCTTTTCTCTCTCTCTCTCTCTCTCTCTCTCTCTCTCTCTCATCCTGTCTTTCTCTTTTTCTCTTTGTCTCTCTCTCTCTCTCTTTTCCTCCCGCTTATTCTCTTCATAAGTTACATTCTCTTAAATATTGATATGTTCATCCCTCTTAACCTGACACCTACATTCGTAAGCTTTTCTTTCATTTCACGTAAGTTTCAACTTCCGTGTTACAATTGCTCTTCGAATGTTTACGTTTAAGATTTTTATTGCACGCTGGTATATGTATTCAATTGTATTTAGCTAATTACTTTCATTTTCATTGTTATGGTTAATGATCACCGCGTTTTCGGTTAAGTGCGCTTTGCATTTGAAAGCGATTGTCTCCAAAAAAAAAAAAATAAAAAATAAAAAAAAAAAAAAATTACTATAATTACGAACGAAGGAAGAAATAAATTGAACAGTTTTTAAATCACGTTTCGAATTTCACATCATAGCGGAATGTTTTCACAAAGACAAGAATTTCTAAGCCGAACACAAATCACTTGCAAATTATTTTTACCGTAAGAATTTCGTAAAGCTTATGGAACAATACGACTCGAGAACGATATATGCTGTGAATTTTATTAAGTTAGACTTCTTTGACAGATTCCATCTGCATCTGAAATCTCGAGAGACCAGACTCTCTTAAAGGTATTGTAACTCGATTTCTATATTGCATTCTGCCAGCGTTTTTATTTGTCACTGTGCATAAGAGTTAGTAACAGAAACTTAATTTTATTGGTTTTGTTATCGTAATTGAATGCTTAGTTTGTTTCATATCTGCTCGCTTCCTAATATTTATTTTATTTCTTTTTCTTTTTTCCGCTATAGTTTAGCAGAGACATTTTTAACAAACTGTAGATTATCTTTGTGGGCTATCTTCACTTTCGTGTTTCCTGTTAGTTTATAGGTTAACAAGTTGGGCTATTACAACCTTGGACATTTGTTTCTTCGTATCCTATTCCAATTACCGATTTGTCATATGTTTTTGGTGAAATATTTTTCCTTTAATTTGAAAATGCATTTATTTAAAACCAATAGAAACAAGTTATGGTAACCTTTAAAATATACGGTTTAAGTCAAGTATTGCATAATTGCTTTCTTTGTTATCATTAAGACAAATTCATTGCATTCTAAATGCTTTGGTGGTTTTTCAATAATCAATAGAATTTAAACGAAATTTATAAAATAAATTCTTTAAAATCATTTGTATATATATAGAATTATTTGTATAAACATGACTACCATCCATTACCATCAACTGCTGCTGGTTTATGTCCGGATGAGCCCGTAAATATTGATTGTGAAGCTTGCGAAGCACCACCTGATGCACCCACTGAAGCATTCAATATTATGCTTACCACACCGCTTACCAAATGAGCGACAATATGCTTAATAAATGCTGCCGAATCTGAGCCACCTTTCCATTGATCTTTATTATCTTCTTTACGGGTATCTTTGCGTTCCTCCGAATCGTCTTCATCGGATTCTTTACGATTTTTCGCTTCTATAAAACTTGAAATAAGATTTTTTAAAAATATAAAAGGTCTCGGCGGTACATCGTCTTCCTCAGGATCCTAAAAGAACAAGAAAATATACAAAAACAATAATAGAATTATTTTCCATGCAATATAAAAAATGAAAGCGAAACGTTCGATCTAAAGAAATTTTTTTATATACCCATCACTATTTCGTGCTAAAAAAAAAAAAAAAAAAAAAAAAAAAAAAAAGCCCTTTTAAAAATTATTATCATTGTATCGTTTCGATAGTGTGTTTCTTGTTTATAATAAGGTAAAGTCGTAGAATCGTATGCTACTAAAACATCATATACGAAATCGTATTTCCCCATTTCTATTTCGGAAACTTATGAAAATGCCACCATCTCGTAATTACACATACTAATGACCGTATACTTGCGTGTCTTTGATAATTGTTGAAAACAATAAAAAAATATTCGAAACCAACTTTGACGATGGAATCGAAATTTTCGATCCACAATTACTAACTAAACTGAATGATAAAATCTCCACGAAGATCAAAGATACTTTGAAGACAAGTACGGTACAAACGGTTGGCAAATGCATCGATGGGTATAATTAAATTCAATAATAGACTACGATATTACGGTTAGTAGACTAACACAGATTAGATTCTATCAAAAAAAAAAAAAAAAAAAATGAAGATTTTATTCTAAAATATGTAAATAAAACATATAATCAGATATATACTGCACTTAAAGAAGCAACAACAGTTCCCAGAAAATTGCCTACAAATTGTCCATTATTTATCTGTAAAAAAAAGAAAAAGAAAAAAATGGTTATATCAAATTCGAAGATAAATACACATACGTGCATGCACAAGTAACGGTTGCTCAGTTTGTAATGATATTCCTAGATGTGATAAGTGCGTAATAATGCGTACATCGCGAAAGACAGAACAAGATAGCTAGATAGATAGATCGATCAAGAACATATAAAACAGATGGAACTTATAACTTATCACATGCTGGATATCTGCAAACAATAAAGAAACTGTCAGGCCCGCCGCCGGAGCATTATGCGTCATAGCAATGCAAACTTTCAAAGGCACCGCAACAACATGACAATGTGAGCGGTTAAAACAGCACTCTGGTTCTGTGTAGTTGTAATGATTTTTCTCTTATTCCGAGGTATTAAGAGCAAAGTAAAAAAGCAAATCCTTACTTAGATCCTTGGCTTATTCAAAGTATGAAAAAAGTGCCATAGAAAATAATGAAGAGAAACATTGGTTGGTTGATACGTATGATAATAATTCAGATATAGAAACGCATTTCAAACACATACAAACATATGATTTTCGTTTTTTGTTTCTTTTTAATTCTTCGCAATACATATCGAGCAACTCAAGTATATATATATATATAACAACATCTTACCGCTCCTCCACCACCCGAGAGACCATCAAAAGCAGTCCCAACATATTCACCCAAAACCGTACCAAAATTTTTATTACCCTAAAATTTGTAAATATGTATATTAAAATGAACTCGTTAAAGCAATGATTTTAATTACAGCCAATAAGCCAGAAATTAAAGCGGTTGCCGTGCTAATTAACGACTCAATATCCAAACCGCCCGGCTGTAATTTTAAAAATGTTTAAAAATGAAAAAAGGAGAAAAAAAAAAAAAAGAAAAAACAATAACTCAAGCGTTCGGTTATGTTACTTACACCAAATATATTAGAAATAACGCCAGTAAGAGCACCAATTAATGCGCCAATATCTGAACCACCTTCACCCTGCAATTAGGCATTTGCGTTGTTTGATGTGATGTGATGTGGTGAGAAAATTATTTTTGCAACTAATACTTACTCCACTTAAACTGCTTATAAGGCCCACTATGCCACCACCAGCAGCTGGTTCCCCTTCGCCTATATCAAAGTCATCATCATCCAGCTCACCGGAATCGGCAATCTCTTGCTTAGCATGCGTTGTATTATTAGCATCAATGATGTTTGTGTCATTTGTGCCTGCATTCACTAATTCGATTGGGGCATTAGGATTAACGTTGTTTTTACGATTACTGCGACGACTAGTTTTAATAACATTCTTGTTTTTTTGTTTTATTTTTTTTTTTTTTTTTTTTTTTTTTTTAAAATATAAAAAATTTTTTTTTTTTTTTTTGTTTACCTTTCTTATGAAAACTTAAAATTATTATTTCTCATAATTGTTGTTAGTCAATAATATACTTAATATGCACCCAGACACACATGCAGCTGTGCCATCTATGCATAGACTACTTGCATAATATATAAAATATTTCGTTTATCTTAAACTTACATTGGCAGCTGTTTGGTAATTATCGTAAAAATCTTCAGCTCTTTTATAATTCGCATTGTGATTGGCCTTTTCGTCGTCTGTGATATCTATCAAATTTTTGCGAACATCGTCCTGCAATATAGACGTTTTTACCAACAAACGGGTTTGTTGTTAAAAATCTTTTTTTTTTTTTTTTTTTTCATTTTTCTTAAGCGAATTTAAATGTTTGCAATTTTAATGCAGAAGAGTTTTTTAATAATCATAAACATTTTGTTAACGGCCTATAAATCAAATTTATTTGACATTATTTGACGAAAAGTCAAATATTTCACGAATATATATATATATATGTGCTGGCGCAAAAGAACAAATTTTTTTTTTTATTTCTGTTTTGTATTTACGTGTGTTTGAAAAATCTAAAATCGCATATTCTTAATTTATCTTCGATACGAGAAAAAAATATATTCCATATGTACTTCACGGAAAATGATTATTTGTGCAAGAATGGAATCTAAAATTAATTCGCCGACAATGTTTCAGGTTTATATTCTTCAAGTGTAAAATATTGCTTAGATTTTGAAAATATTTTGGCGAAAAGTATTCTGCCGAAGTCGCCAATCAGGTCGGTTTTTATGGAATGCACTGTTTCAAATAACCTTGGGAAACTTTCGGCGGACGGCCCTGCCTTTACGATGTTGAATACGTACCTCCCTTTTCTTAACATGATTAGACCACAAGTACTAGCGAAAATTTCCATCGATTAAAATAAAGAGGAACGAACGAAGAGAATATTAAACTAAAAAACTAAACTTCTCTGAGTTCTTTCCCATTTCTTGGTCTTTTCATCAGTTCAAGAATAAAGTAGAATTCGTCGATTATATAGTTACACCTTTTCCTTTACCTTAATGTTAATTTAGGAAAATAATAGAAACATATCTTAAAACTAAACAAGTAAAAATATTATAGTGCGACATGGTCCAATATATTAATACTCTAGACCACTGCGCTTAATACGGTTATTCGTAATGATAACAACTTTCCTTAAATAAAGTTTTATATGGGAAGTGGTCGAAAAAGGTGGTCCGATCCGCATCATTTCAAGAGCATCCGTCTACGGGCCAAAACCAAATTTCAACAAAATATCGTAAAATTACCAACTTATAGGTTGGACGTAAGAAACCAAGACGGACAGACAAGCTTAGAATCATTTTCTAAAGCGATTGATGTAATAAAAGGAGGGATCTATCTCAAGTCCTTTTTGGGTATTGCATAAATCCGCCCAAACTTAACATAGCTTTATACCACGAATAGTGTAGGGTATCAAAAATATGTTAATATTTGATGTAAGATGGTTAATTTGATTGGCCTTAATTAATTTGAATATGAATATGCTTCAGATACCGTAGTCGAAAAACATCAATATCTTGACAATGTGGGCTTATTGTCACAAGTTTTTTCATTAACAGCTCACTTTTAGAACTACGTTTCAACTATATATCAACTCATGGTATTATGACTCGGATATCAAGAAATCCTTGAGAAAATTGAATCTATCACGAAAGATATATCGAATTTTATCAAATATTTATTCTTATCTCTACTACCTCTGATGATATCATTTTAATCATTTCAATCCGTGCCGGTTCGTCAATCTCCGTATTTCGCTTTTTTATCTGCAATTTACCAGCTCTGGCAATTATATCATTTATATTAGCATTTTTTATCAAATAGTCCACTGTACGATTAACTTTCGTATCTACCACATTTTTCATCATATCGATTTGCTTTAATATATTTGTCCTTAAGTTTCCTATTAAATCCGATATTTCAATATTTTCATTAAAAGTACGATTCTCACGTCTCACCGATCTTAACATGTCATGTAACTCTTTTTTATATGTTTTTACATGTTTATTCTTCATAGCCAAATCCATTGAGTTAACGAGTATTTCCAAAGCATTTCGATCTCTTTGCAATTGTTGTTCAATTTTTTCAATTCTAGGCAAAACAATTTGCCTATCACTCATGTCCGTATTTGAAAGGAAATCATTTAGTTGATTTATTAAATGCTTTTCCATTTGCTTTTCAACATCTTTAATGCCATTCACTATACCTAAGATAGTAATGGTTCTCAGTTCATGTTGCGATAGATATGGTTCCAATTTTTTGTACGCCGCAATCGCACGTATATAATTTGAAGTTAATGGTACTTGCAATGGCTTCTTGATCGGTAACGAATTCACCAAATTGATATACGATATAAGCGAAAGGATAAATCGAAATTTGAAGAAAGATGTACGCATTTTGCCCGACTTAACGATGCTATGTTCACTTTGAATTTTCACAAAAAACTAATTTTTCATAAAAATTTTCCTAACAATTTATATGCAATGAAAAATGATTAAAAAGTAACTGATGGGCGTGTCACTTAAACTTTACGCATGGTTTTGTATGATTGCTTAAAAATAAGCAGTTAATTTACCATTTCATTGCTTTAATAATCGCATACATATATACGCCAATATGTAGATGTGGACAAGTGATGATACGTGTGCAATACATATATATATATATGTACATTTATTAGAGTATCATTATATTGTAGTTGAACGTCGCGCTTCATTGTTTCATTGTTTTTTCGCTGAGAGAGTGAAAATACTTAAAACAATTACTATATAAGTATAAGTTTTGTGCAAAGAAATATCATTTAAAAGTAAAATTACATCCCCCCTTTTACGAAGGTACTGTCAATTAATTGACTTTCGATCATCTTTTATCTTTATTATACAAAAACTAGTTTTTTTTCTTTTTACTTCCCTATCCTCAAATAATACCTTAGAATGGATCATTAAATATTATTACAAACCATTTATTGCATTCTTCTACACCCGATTATCGCTGAAACACTTCTATCTAATTTTCAAGATTCAATTAAGTATTTTATTTATTATTCACTTTAAAAATATTGACTTTGTTGAGATGATTTGTTATTGTATTTGTGGTTAATTTCTACTTTGTAAATAAAGTGCACGAAATACAAGGAAAGCTGGGCATAAGAAACATATTAATGATGCGGTAACAATTGTTCGAATTAATTAGCAGAAGAATATGCACTGACTGAATATTACCTAATAAATAACTCTAGTCAACCTTGACCATCTAAAACGAATATTCATAATTCTTGACCATTCGTTAAATACCTATGAAGTCTAGCGTTGCCGCCTTAGTGGACTGTAACATCGTACATTCAATTGTTTCGTTCCAATGAGTAAACACAATCGCTTCTAGCCTTAATTTAACGGAATAAATAGAGTGAGTGCGAGATCTTTCCCTTTCAATTTATTTAAAGTGCCTGCATAATCTTCCGCATGAACGTCTGCTTAAGTCGTCTTATCCTGATTTTTGAGATATCTTTTCATCCTGTTTCGAAAGAAATCTCTGCCGCAATTTGAAAATTGATAATAAAAGTGAAAAGATAGATAGATACACACTGTAGAGAGTAAATATTATTAATTCGATTATGCGTCATATTTAAAAACGAAACTTGCTAATTCTCTACGATATGATGATGTAATAGACCACACATCAGTATGACTTGGTTTTTAAATATATTCCATCTCGTTACCCATTAAAAGCGCTATTTTTTCAGTCGACAGCTCCTTATTGAAAATGAATTTGTAACACATGGCTCAATGTCTTACTTACTTATATATTTAAATTTCGCAACGATAAGAAAGTGCTGTTACGTACCATATGGCAACATAAGAATTCCAAGACTTTTCCGCCTTAACTCGATTCAACAATTCGTTTCTCATGTCTGCTCTGCTATAGGACTCTAACGCAGTATTGCGAATGACTTAATTTGAATGAATTATAATTAGATTATTCGAAAGACTTTGAATTTTCCTAGCGTCAATGTAACTCTTCATAACGGATCAGGCCTATTTGAAAGCCCGGATTTTAGTTCAATAATTTTCTGTTTTCCATCTACATTTTTGACATTCCGAAATGGCAGGCAGTCATACGGATTTATACTACCAAACCACCTCGGAATGTTCAGCTAATTAAGCGCACTTATACTTTATACGATCGTATATAAATTAATCTCAGGTATCATAAGAGTACTTTAGCTTAAACCTATGCCCTTGGTCGATATAAAATTTTCTATGATAATTTAAAGATTTACTTTCGGTTCATTTAGGCATTTGCTTGCATCTAAAACTCTGTGATATGAATTGCAAATAAAAACAAAAAAACAAAAAAAAAAAAAACAAATACGGAAACTATATTCGGCTATGGTCGCATCTTTTATAGCCGTTATTTTATTAAGAAAAAAAAAATCAAAAGAAATGAAATTTCTTTACTCCATAATATGAAGGTAGACTGATTTTTCCGATTTTTGTATAGTTACGCTTTCGCGTATCGTTATTCCTGTTTTAGTTTATGAGTAACGAGCAAACAAGCCATTTTGTTTGCTTTTCAAAACAGAAGCATTTTCAGTTCATGTCATAGTCTGTGCGTCTCCTTTGACCGCTTTCTACATCCTCGCTGCTTGCAGGCACTTTGAATATTTTGTTCGAAATTTTGAAGACGAGCAAATAAATGCTTATCACAAATATCAAACACGCGGAAGGACGGACATGTTAAAATTGATTTTGTCAAAAATATCTATACTGTATAAGATCAATGAAATTTACTGCTGGGCGTTACAAACGTTTTCGAAAAATGAATATGCGTCCGCCCGTCGATGGTGGGCATAAAAACCGAATAGTAGTAGTCACACCTTAATGCATAGTTTATGAAAAACACGCAAAGTTTGTATCTTAAGTCTTTTGTTTGAACTTAAAATTTTCGAAAGTATTAATGCCGGCCAACAAGTTTATTTCATTTGATTTCAAGGAAACTATTAACTAAATTAAGATCAAAAAGTCATAATACAAAGTTTTTTATACATGTTCATATATTTTATTATTGTATATATGTACATATATAATTTTAATAAAACAAACATATAGACACACACAAAATAGGAGTTAGTTAATGTGTAATGTTTGCATTAGGTTTATCTAACTTAATCTGCATAGAAGCCGCCATTTAAAAGAATTAGAGCATATTAAAGGCTTTGATTTGAAATCGAACAAACAGCTTTTGAAAAGCAATAACCAAAGTAATTGTTGTTACATTATGAATAGTCACGGCTTATTGACTCTGAAAATGTTTCATTTTGCTTTAGTTTTTCAAGTCGCAAAACGTCAAAGCATATGTGTGCTAATTTATTTAGTCTAATACTTAATAAATTGTATACATTTTGTGTCAGCGTGAGATCCTGAATCGATTTGGCTATGTTTGCTAATTTTTTCGTTTATTTGATTATTAAAATGACATGTCTAACTACAAGTAAGGCATCCAAAGTGTTTTACTTTGCCGTAAAATGTCCGCCTCGCCAAAAATGAATTTTTTAAGTTAAACTAATCCTTCCAATTGACTTTGTAGCTATCAAACTCACCCTCTTGTATGATTTATTATCTACGAAAAGAAGCACCACTAGCCGCAGGTTGATTTTAAACCAGAGCCCTTTAAGGAGTTTCTTACATTTCTGCCTCGAAAGCCGGTGCACGCTATGGCAAAGGAAAAAGCCATACACTAAATTCCACAGAAAACTCAACTGAAAATGCGAATCTTCACATTGTAAAACGTGGAACCAGTGTTAACCATTTGACCCCATAAGATTTCTTTCATTATTCTCCAACATCTCAATTCCGGAGTTCATGTTCGGCGCGTCACGCAAATGGGTGGGAGGGTTCGTCTCACACTTAGCCCTTGAAATATTTTCCAAATACGGCGAATAGGTGTACGTCTATTAATAATTCTAGGAACTAAATAAGAAAAAAATTCTTTTATAAAATTCGACATTGCTCGTCAACGTAGCCTCCTTCAGAAATGATGGAACCAGTCCTAACGCTTCTCTCATATTTGGACTTCTTTTTTGAACGCTCAAAATATGGTTCAGTTTCCGTAGAGACCTGAACATTTATTGGAAGTATTTATTGCACACACACTTGAGCACACAAAACATTTGGAGCACACTTTTGAAATTTTCTGCTAGATCTAGTGGAGGCGCTGAGGGAGCAATCGGAACCTTAGTTGATAAAAATCCTCGAATTAAAGCAACATATTGATGTACTACTTACCCTAGTAAGGTAGTACTACTTACCTAGAAGTAAATTTGATATGCAATTTGCAAACCAGGTGTCTCATGCTCAGATTCTCATGCAAAATAGAGAGCACATTGTGTTTTGATATCTCTGCTTACTCAGCTATCTCTTGTAATGTGAGTTTTCGATCGAATTTTCAGGATTTTTTCGATCTCTGTTCGGCATTCATTCAGCATCATCGGTATCCGTACGGCCACACTTAAAATTAGGAAATCACAGAAAAGTAGTTGCTTTTAACGGAAAAGAGTTGAATAAGAGTTGATAAAGTTAGAGAATAAAAGTTTCAAGGCCAATGCGTATTTTGAAAGGTAATTTTTGTTATCAAAGAACAGTTCAGATTTTTGTATTTTTTTTTTTTTTAATGAATCGCAAACAAATTAACATGAAATTGTTAAAGACCGCCTTTGAGAGTTTGCACATCCCAATAGGAACAAGCTTTCTTCTTATTTCAAAAAAAAAAAAAAAAAAAAATTCCAAAATAATTGTAAAACCAAATCGAGACAATGAAAGAGTATTGGAAAAAATGAAAGAAACCACATCCGGCAGTCCTACCAGTAGCAATATAAAAAACATTCTTTGAAAAGCAAAAATCAATTTTCAGAAAAATACACTGAAGTGTAAAGTTAAAAAAAGAAAACGCAAAAAAAAATGTTGGACATATTCAAACACAGAAGAACATTACATATAGTTCAGCAAGTCCAACTGTTACTTACTCTTAATCATTCTTGATATTATACGACATCATTATTATGGTACACACGGTACATTTTTGACCCGTTTTCTTCATATTTATAAATATTAAGAATTTTACCTTTAGAAAAGTGATTTATCATCAATCTCAAACCTCACGTACACAAGCAATAAACATAATTGATTTACTTATTGGAGAAAATTGACGTATAAGCAACACGTGCGCTAGAAAACGCTACCAAGAAGAAGAATACAAATTTTGAAATATTTTCTAGCTCCATTAAATTACGGACTCTCCTGGCCGAATTCTCCTCTAGGTAGGACACAACCAAATACAAGCATATCTCCAACGCGCTATGGCAAGTCGTAAATGTGCCAGCACATGGATAAATTCTAAA